CACGTGTGGAGGTTTGATTCGTGCAAATTAAAATGGAAAATGGCATTTGATGCTCGGTTTACCCAAGTAGCATTTCTGCTGTAAATTCCCTTTGCTGTGAAGCCCCACTCCCCACCGCCCTCCCCCCCACACACACACACACACACATACATCCCCCCAACAGCAGGAAAATAAACCTTCTGCTTCAGGCTTCCTTTCCGTTCTGCCTGTACTTCAGGAGCACAGAAAGCCAGTGGCCTTTTCAGAACCTGAATACCAAATACACATATCAAGTGTTGAATTATGCATCTTCAACCGGAGATAATAATCACCGGTATCGGAACAGAGCCGCTTTGTCCTGTGCAACAGAATGGCCACACACTGAAGAGCTTTCTATTATTCCATTGAAATTGAAAGTTTGTCCCAACATTCAGCAGGTTCTCTGAAACAATGGACGGGCACCAAATTTTGCAGCCTGCATTATTAAAAACAAGGGACAGCATTAGCTTATTTCTGGATCGCTATCCCAGTTTCGGTCTGATTTCAGGTAATGTGATGTCCCATTGAGATACACCTCTGGTACACAAACCATAAATATTGTTTTAAGTTCTCATTGAGTCATTCAGTGATGATAGAATAGTTCTTATAGAGTCATTCTGTGAAGACTGCATTGTTCACATTGAATCATTTTGTGAATACTGCATAGTTCTCATTGAGTCATTCTGTGAAGACTGCATAGTTCTCATTCAGTCATTCTGTGAAGACTGCATAGTTCACATTGAATCATTCTGTGAAGAGTGCATAGTTCTTATAGAGTCATTCTGTGACGATAGAATAGTTCTCATTGAGTCATTCTGTGAAGACTGCATAGTTCTCATTGAGTCATTCTGTGATGATAGAATAGTTCTCATTGAGTCATTCTGTGAAGACTGCATAGTTCTCATTGAGTCATTCTGTGAAGACTGCATAGTTCTCATTGAGTCATTCTGTGAAGACTGCATAGTTCTCACTGAGTCATTCTGTGAAGACTGCATAGTTCTCATTGAGTCATTCTGTGAAGACTGTCAGGCCCTTGCTTAACTATAATGCTGGAGCATTTTCAAAGGAGAAGGTGAAATGTTGACATTTGTGAAATGTCAGAAATAGCCTAACATTTTTATTGCACGATATTAAAATAAAACAATGCATTCCAGGAATTTCATCACAGTGATTTTAGTTGAATGTATGTATTTTCGTTCGAATAAGTCTCTCCGTATCTCAGTCTGCTGGGATTGAAATACAGCTGGTGAGTTAGGTTGAAAGTGGCTGATTGTGGCCACCTATGGGCCGGGATGAAAAGCATAATGTAAGCAGCATACGTGGCATATTCTGGGAAAAAAGCCTGAGGAATGAATGTTTTTTGGTATCATTCAGCTGCCACAACTCTGTGACTCTTAAGGGCTTTCTTAATGAGCGTTTGTACCGTTATTTGCGCTATTTCAACGTACATGTTTGTTATATCACACCTGGGAGCCCTTCCTGTGATCTATTGTGTGTTTTTATTGGTTTCTTTATTTATTTATTGTTGTCATTGCTGATGCTGTTGTTTCTAACTCTCATTCCTCTCGAGTTTGTCATGTGTGTTGGATTTTTCTAATTGATTGACCTTTACTTAATTGGACTCGTTTGTTTTACCTGATAGGTGTCTAATTGGCAGTGAAATTTGTGGATATGGTGTACTAACTAAACTGGTATTTTATGCATATCATAGAAGCAACAAGGGCTGTCTGTGCATGCCTTTTTTATTTCATCTTCCAGAAATCATTTATACAGTACTCTCTGTGAGGTTCTAGAATCTATATATATGGTCCTGTGATGTGAGACAGGGGTACCTCTGGATGGCATACCAGGCCGTTACCGTGGACACATGCATAGGCACACGTATGAATACAAAGCATAACCATCCCAGTTGCATTTACATTTTTAATAAGTGCCCTTTTTTTCTTCAAATAATCTGCCACTGTTTTTGAGCTCTGTCCTGACAGGTTCAACATCATACTGCATGGTTGCATTGAGATTCATTATTCAAAATATTCGCTTTTACATGCACAGACTGAGCCATCGGTTTTATTACTTATTGACCTGACTGCTAGGCACAGTTCCCCCGACAGCACCCTGAGGGGCACTAAAAAAAAATCACACATTCCTGCTGCACGCTGAATAACGATGGTCTCCAACAGGTCGCCTTATGTTTAGATTAGGACAGTCCGCCCGTATGTCCAGAAATAACAAGAGATATTAGTACAAGAATGTGTCCCAGGAAACAGCCAGAAATGCTTTCTGTCATTTGCTATTGTCCATTGAGGCTCTTGGGCTGTTATTTGTGATGTAGGTGTGGCTATACTTTCATGATTGCTTGCATGCTGTTGATCCAGTGCGTTGCAAATCCTGTTCATTTCATTCAATTTCCTCTGTAGCGGCCTACAGTGAGATTCGTATGATAAACACTTGAGAAGCACTTTGAATGCGAATGTAGATTAGGGCACAAGGCAGCGACACACTGGACCAGGATACCAGTTCATCACTGGGTATGCACACACACACACACACATGTAGGGTAAACATATCTTTATGGGGACCGCTCATTCATTTCATTGGGAAAAATGCTAACGCTAACCATGACAACCTTAACCCCTACCCTGCCCTAACCATAACCATAAGTAACCTAACAAAATACAAGAGTTTTTGCATTTTTAGTTTTTTCATAGCAGTCACCGATTTTTATAAAATAGAGTTTTCCCTTATGGGGAGCAGGAAACCGGTCCCTATAAGGGAAAAAAAACGGATATTTATCACGTTATGGAGACATTGTGTCCCCATAAGAATAGGTAAACCCGCTCACACACACACACACACACACACACACACACACACAAAAATACGATGGCCAATTTAAAGAAACCACTTAACCTGACTGCATAGTGTGTGGATGCCAGAGGCCACAGAGAAAACCCTCACGAAAGGAAAAGCAAACTCCACACACACAAAACAAGGGTGGAAGCTGAACCCCCAACCCTGGAGATTCAAGGCCACAATATAATCCACTAAGCCACCATCTTTCCCACAAGATAAGTAAAGTAACATATCCAGTTGGCAGAGCAGCGAATGGGATTTAATTTGTGTCTGTAGTGTACCATAAACATATTCTGAATAGCTCATGGCACCTGCTCGATAGCCAGTTAATGATTCTGACAACTGCTCCGTGGCAGATTAGCTACTTAAGTCAATTAGTAGTAGCAGCTCACTGTCCGGTTCGTTCTCGCGTTTGCATTAATGTATCAAGACATTGTCACAAAAATCCAAAGCAATAAATTGATTGGTCTGTATGAACAGAAGGCGGAACCTTTAAGCAGGCATGTTACACAAAATATAAGTGCTGTGATCCTCAGTTTTATGGTTAACGTAGGAAATAAATATCCATCTTATATAGTACAGGATGATAGTGAGTCTGAGGGTGTACAGAGCAGTGGCCAGAACAACAACAACAATAATAATATTTTCATGTATATTTATTTATATAGCACTTTTGACACTTGGAATGCAGCTCAAAGTGCTTCGATTATGGGATTAAAATAAAATGAAAGACAAAGAAGCAACTAAAGTACAGGTCAATGAATAAATTTAAGCAAGAGTAAATGTAAGCTAAAAAGAAAAAAAAAACAGCTAAATAAGTTAAACTGTATGTTTTCGATTTGTACATGCTTAAAAAATGTAGACGTTAAACTTATGAAGTCAGTGGTCAGTGAAGAACCCTCCCCCCCCTCCCCCCCCAGGCCTATTTACTGGTCTATTTTTGTATGATATGAACCAGTTTGTGCCATGAAAAGCCTGGGAACCCCTACCAGTAGCACTTTGCTTGAGGGGACACAGATAATGTAGCATATGCTAGTACTTATGTATTAATTAACCACAAACTAATTGTTAGTTACAAACTGATGTCATGTTTGTTCATCATTAATGAACTGTCACATCTTTAATCTCAAGCAAGTATATTTGTTACTATACCTGTTAATTCTGTAAACCTTTGTGAACAACTGCAAAAACTACTGAAGGAACAAGTCATGAATAACATATGTAAAATACTTATTGCATGTTTGTTCATCGTTAATGAATTGTGACGCATCATTTATTCCAAAGTTACTGTATTTGTCAGTATATCGGTTAATTCAGTAAATCTTAATGCAGTTCTGAAGGAACTACTGATGAACTACTGAAGGAACAAGTCATGAATAACACAAGTGAAATTTGGATGTCATGTTTGTTCATCATTAATGATGATCATCTTAAGTAACGACTATATTTGTTCATGATTTGTACCTCAGTAGTAATGGAAATACTGTCGTCTGCTCGTTTGTAAATTTCTTAAGTATTTGTGTTCCATCAAGTAAAGTGTTACCCCCCTGCTGTGTGGGATTCCATTGCATTGAAGGTCCCGTGCATTGTGGGTAATTTACAGACATAGCTGCCTGGTTTAAGGTTTTAGCAGGAAACCCAATCTATTATGGGGAGAACATGCAAATCCTACATACCCAGGGGAGGTAATCGTACCCATAACCCCAGAGGTTTGGGGCTACAGTGTTGCCCTCCGAGCCACCATGCCCCCTCATGACAGACATCCCTTTCTTTAAAATACGATTCATTTTAATATGCATGTAGCTTGTGTCACTGTCAGGAAGCTGCTGGCTAATTTGATCCAAAGCACATGCTTCCATCTGTTAGTGTGATTGAAGAAGAGATTTGAATTCATTATGGGCTAAATAAATGTAAGGGAAAACATTAAAGTTGAGAAATCAGACTTCTCTAAAGTACATTCTCCCCATTTTATTTATGTGCCGTGAATAGAAAAGATGAACCTTTGACACTGTAGTACTGCAATCAATTTTAAAAAGCAGCATAAAAATAAATTAAAGCGGCCTACTGCATTTGGTTTAAATAAGTCATTTTTACGTAACTTCTTTAACAGTGTTTTTCTGTGATGGCAGGAAATGCTATTCGGCCCATCGCCCTGCGCGCCGTTTCCGCCATAGCCAAGGCCTTGCCGGGGTTCCCTATCCTGGCGACGGGAGGGATCGACTCTGCCGAGGCCGGACTGCAGTTCCTCCATGCCGGAGCCTCTGTCCTCCAGGTGACGACTAGCTTATATCTTCTTTAGGTGTTTGTTCACACATGCATGTGCACATGCAGATCCTCCTGTCTTCACTAGAATCATCTTCCCTCTCATAATTAGTGTAATGTGTAATTAGTGGCCAGTATCTATCTATCTATCTGTCTATCTATCTGTCTGTCTGTCTGTCTGTCTATTCTAGTATTAGCATTTTTAAATGTCGCATAAATATCTCATATTGTTTTTCTTTTTCTTAAATTATTTTGCTAAATCCTTACTGAAAAAAAAAAAACACGTGCGCCTGATTTCTTACCCTAAGCTCCACAGATATGATGTTGGCATGTAATTCAAGAGAAGGATCTTGTAAGGAAAAACCAACACTGGGCAGAAGTAGACGCTCCAGCTGGGACTGTGATAATCATGCAGCCATTTGATATAGGCGGCACAACCAACAAGCCTCTGTAGAGAAACTGGCTGAAAGAGTCCCAAGAGTTTTATTGAGCTGGATCCTCACATAGCCTTCCGATGTCTGGTTTCAGCTCAGGGTTTCTGCTGGACACTCATGCATTTTCCAGGAGCATTTCTCATTATTCTGGAATCATTGCACTGCCAAAATGTTCATCCCAGTTTCAGACAAATATAGTTCTGTCTAGTAATTGTTTACACGTTTTCCCATCTCTTTTTCATTCAGTTCATGAGTTCTTGTTCCCCGTGATAATTTTGACCTAGCCACAGGTCAACACCATGACGAATTCTGATGGACATTTGGATCAAAATGCAATTTTTACCAAAGACATAGTATTTAAAAATATAGCCTACATAGTTCTTTTTTTTCTCATTGAAAGCAAGTCTTGCTACGGACACGGTTTTCCGTGTATGGACAGGTTACGATCCCTGCTCATTCAAAGTGAGTCATGCCGCGCAAACGTTTGTCCGTGTAGCGTCCCTGCTAGATAGAATGTAGAATGCAGATGTAATCTGGTTGATGTGACCATCCAGGGTGTAGTATCAAACCCGCTTATGGCGCTGCCATCCAGGCTTCTGTGACTCTCTGACTGATGCACGTTTTCGGCCATCTTTGCTGTTGATCTCTACAGCTCAGTCGCTGGCCATACAGTGCCGTTCCTACCTGATTTACTTTTCTGCTGCTCATTTTCCAGGGATGGCTTGGCATGCTCACTTTCTTAATTGAGGTGACCAGTTAATGTCGTAATTAATTACATAATTTTCCTCTGACCGCTCTCATTAACATGGGGCTTTCTGGAAACTGAAATGCCATGAACCGGATATTTCTTTTATCCATCACACCATTGTCTGTAAACTCAGGATGCTGTCGGGCATGAGAATTTCAGGAGGGTCACTGTATCCGTTGCAACCACCGTGTACCACACTATGTTCCATATCACATTAATTAGGTATCTTAGCCATGCTTTGGGTTAGATGGACAATCAGTGATGGATGGATGGATGGATGGATGGATGGATGGATGGACCATCAGTGAACCTGTTGACCCTGTGTATACACTGTATTATATTGCAGCTACTGGATTAGCTGGTTGCAGGAGCAGATTGTTTATAGTAGCAATCAGTTGTGCCTAATATACTAGCTACTGAATTACCTGACCAAGGAAAACTTACGGAAACTGCTGGCTCATTCTAGAACAATAAGAAGAACTATTATTGCACACAGACAGAAGTCATTTGCTTAATTATGTAGCTTGTTAAGGTAAATTAATATAGAATTACCAGAACAAAGGGTTAGGATCGTTTTCTTCCATTAGTCTTCCAAATTAATTATTCAGTTCAGTTCAATTAAATTTTATTTGTATAGCGCATTTTCACAATGTTACATTGTCTCAAAGTGCTTTATATTATCCCTGCCCAAAACCCCCACTGAGCAAGTTAGAGGCGACAGTGGCAAGGAAAACCACCATAGGAGGAAGAAACCTTGGTAGGAACCAGACTCAAAGGGGGAGCCCATCCTCCAGGGACCAGCAGAGGAAGTCAAATGAAGAAGATGACAAAATCCTAATTTACGCAGTCCAGATTTAAAAATTTGAGTCTCAAAGCAGGGGGCAGCCAGGTGCTGGTGCCTGTTCTGGGGGCAGCC